TCTGACTGGTACCGACACTCAGCTCTGGTACACACACACACTGAGATCCACTGGCTGCAGAACAAACTGTATAAAGTCTACATTAAAATCCTTAAAAATAACAGAATCTATAAATTTGCAGATGTATTTGTAAAGTTTTCCTGCCAGACACGAGGAGTTTACAGCTGATGTTAACATGGAGGATCCAAACACTAAAACCACTTGCTGAAGCGATCTGGGATTCGACCTCATATCTTTCGTACTGTAAACACCAATGTGTCCTCGACCACACTGAAGGACGACTCAACCTGTACTCGAAACACATCGTCTGATTGGTTCACTGCGATGACCATAACCGTAATATTGCCAGACTTAAAAAAACGTGCAATTTTATTATTTATAGTTATTGAGTGAGAAGAGACTTTATAAACTTTGTGAAACGTTATCTACGACAAATTGTTCATTATTTGGGCCTTCTTGTAAATTTGGGAAAAGTTATTTCACAATGTGCTAGCTAGATGGCGGTCCAACATGATATCATAACCTCAGTCTGTTAACGCCATAGTTACAACAAATCACCACATTAAAGCTCTAATATGTAACATTTCTTCTTTGAGCTGTGTTCTGTTGTTGTGGTTGTCTGCCAGAAGCTGTCATACATTGACTGTTTTACATTTACTGTTTTTGTAATTCTTTGGATTATATTTGCAGTATCTTGATTAAAAGCTGCAGTATAACAGAACAGTAATGAAATGAATCAATCTGATCTTCATAAACAGTTTTCTGGCTCTGTTTTCTGGCTCTGGAGTGTGTGAAGCTGACTGACAGCTGCAGGGCCACTCGCTGACGTGTCGGCGGCTGGTGGGAGGGCTGAGATGCAGTAGCGTTAGGATGTCCTGTCTCTTATCACTTCCCTGCGACTCCATTGTTCTCCGAGCCACCGGGAATATTCTCCACCTCCTTTTCCACATCAGCTGTTTTTATTATCCACAATGAAATGTCACCTGCTGTAGGCTTTCTGGCGCTCAGAAAGGTGCGAGGCCTTGGCATTTTGTTGAGTTGTGCGTTTGTCCGGTACCAATATTTGGCACGTGGGCCGGCAGTTTGGTTCAAAGATGCCTTTAATGTTGGTCTTAAGTGTTGGTAATATAATGAGTGTGTGTGTGACCTTGTTGATCTGAATTGTCCTGTGCAGCAGAAGAACAGGAGGATTGTGCAGAGCAGCAACAGTGACTCACTCTTTCTTTTACCACAGATGTGTGCGCTCACGTTGCTCAAATGTTGTTTGAAGTGAAATTAATAAACTCGTTAAAAAGATGCTCGTTGTGTCACAGCTGAATCTCTGTTTCGGAAAAGGACAAAACTCTAGCAACTCTGGATCTTTTTCCTTCAAGATTTACAATATTAATTAATTAAACATTATATTCTCTATGGTGTCTCTCTCCCTCTGCCTGTGTTGTATCGCAGGGCTCTCTGTTGGTTTCTTTCCATATCCGGTCTGCTCGGGATGTGCAACTGCTGTTTTTATCATTACGTCGGTGAATTAGGATTATTTCCACCAAACCAGAGTGTGATTGGAAACACTAACAGAGACGGTTTTAATGAGTTTTATTCTGTTTCTGTCTGATTGTTTTGGTCTGAGATGCTGGTGCTCTAGTGCGACATCCAGTGGTGGATTTTCTATATTTAACCTTTAAGGGAGCTCTTTTCTATTATTGAGTAAACTGACTACATTTTATGGATATTTCATATTATATTTACTGCTTTTTCTACAATTTTCTGTCTGTATTATGTATTTTTGTCATACTATTCCAAACTAATAAAGGAATTATGGAGTGGTAGGTGTGGCACAGGTTTGTTTGTTTCCGTGTGTTGATTTGTGTGTTGTTGTTTTTTTTAAGTACCACATTAATGTGTGATTAAACACCTTTATTAGTATGTTTATGTTCCTGTACAGTTGCTTTTAACTGATGAGTTGTTGTTTTCTCACTGTGTGTGTTTGTCACTGCTCCGGGTTGAGCAGGATCGAAGCCTCACACTGACTTCTTTATGAAAATACTTGTTTTTTTATTCTTCTATGGCACATCATAAAGTGTTGTATATATCCCTGCAAAGACGTCTCATTGTTCTATCAGCAGACTGTGTTCAGGTCTTTACTGTGTCCTTATCCTGTGAGATTGAGTTTATATCGTTAATAATAATCTAAACTTTAAAAAATAACAAGAACAAGTTAACCAATACAGCTACATTTGGATGAAAATCTAGTGATTCATTCAGAGTAGAATATAAAATGACTAACTGAGCAGCACCGTGTATCACACACAGTGTAAGTAGCTGCACTCACAGAGCTTTATTGCTTTAACAAGCCGTTGACTCAGACTGGAGGAAATCCCAACACTAGAAAGTCATCAAGCTGCCCTGATAAGAGAGAGAAGCCCTGTGTTATCGAGCCTTTAATGCCCACTGTGCCTCCTCTTCCTCCTCTGACTAATCTCCACCTGTTAGAACAAACAGAGGATGTGACACATTCATGCAGCTCAGAGTCGCAGTCGTCCTGTTGGATCCACTTTCATTATGAGCTACTGATTAGGGTCATTATTGATTAGTCAGTCGAGTATTTTTCAGATGTAATGGATCGTACTGCGAGCAGGAGCGTGTCCAGATTGGGGTGGCATCAAGTATGTGTCTCAGCTTTCCAATCATTCCCAATTTAAACACTGTTTATGGATCCCAGGCTGCACAAAAACCACATTGGATTAGCATAAACTGTCGACCTGTTCGTACCAATCGTTGACATTACTTATGATGGACAGAGCCTTAAACCTGCATTCTCTCTAATGGCCAGCAGGGGGTAGCTCCATTACCATCCAGTCTTATGGAGAAATGATTCGACTTCTCAGTTGAGTTTATGAGCTCCAGTAAACAGTTTCCTGATGAGTTTCTGGTCTCAGTCTCTTAGTTTCAGTCTTCTTCCTTACAGCATGATGTGTCATTTAGGTAAACTGATGGTCCCATTTGAGTCAAACAGACATAAAGCAGGGGATGTTAGGGCGGGGCTACCTTGTGATTGACAGCTCATTCTCAGTGAGTGTCCAGCTCAACGCACAAACTCAGATCAACTGCAAACAGTGCTGATCAGATATGGATCCAGATTCTGTTTGTTGACTAATTTCTCTCCTCAAATTGTTCACTAAAACCATTTTATGTTATCTGGAATACCAGATCCTGTGTGAGCAGGAGAGGCAGCCAAGAGAAGCAGTTCAACTCGCTTTACGTGACCTCTGCTGCGCTCTGATAAACTGCTCATGGTAAACGACCAACAACGCCGACCCCTCAAGGCTTCAAAACAAGAATCACAAATCCCGTTGCGTAGGTTCCCAACTTTGTACCATAGAAACTATTTTATTCAGATATATTTTGTCAGAGGTCAAATAGAGCTCTTTTGAAATGAATATGCCAGTTTTTCCATCTCCAAACATTTGCCTCAGTATGGAACATTATTACCCCCCCTTCCCCAACATGCTTGCAGAAAATGGTTGGTAACCAATGGATGCATTGGATCATCCTAGTTTCATATGATAACCAACATCTTCACTCTAGCTTTAAACAGAGGAAGGATAAATGTGGTGGCGGATCAGAATTGGTTAACTAGTTAAAAAAGCGAGTTGCTAACAAACAAAAGGTTAAAGGGTCCGGTACGCAGAATGCTTTGCTTCTGACCGTTTTCAGTGCTCACGCAGCGCACAACAGGATGCACTCCGCACTAGGACAAGGCGGCCATGTTGAAACGCTCCGTTGTCGCTCCCGCCTCGTGTTGTTGAAAAATTCCTCAAACTCTATTTTTTGTTTTGTACTTAAGTGAACTCAGAGCAGAGATGAGTACAGACCCCACAAACACGTCCTCTACACTTGTGATCGAGGGACGCACCTAGAAAAACAAATACCCCAAAAAATTAATTTTTACAGTGTTTTTATGCGAATAAACTTCCAGAAAAGATTATTTCACACGGTGTTTTGCTTTCTCTGTAAGATCATTCATTGTTTTCCTTGGACGGATTAAAATGCCGATTGGATACTGGAGACTCGCTACGGCCGGATCTGAACCAAAAGGATGTGGCTTGCATTATCTGCTCAGAGCACCGGGGACAACAGGAAGTGGCCGTATCAGGCCGATCCACACGTTGCACAGTTAACTGTTACTTGTACGAGAGTGCGTTATATTATTATTATTATTATTAATTATTATTAGTCACTAGAGAGCTCCTGTAGACCACAGGTTCTCAACCTGGGGTTGGGCCCCCACCAAGGTTCCGGAGGGGTTCACAAGGGCTATCTTGATTTTCAGGTGTGAACAGAAAATATTAAGAATTCGTATTACTCATTTAAAACAGTCATATGATTACCATTTATATACCTCCTGCCAACGTATTAGTTACTAGTTATATTACATTTCTGCTACTTCAACAAAAAGAGTAACTGTGTCCTTTCAGCTGAGATAATTTAAAATCCAGTTTTCTTATCTAATAATGCAAGTAATGTGATGTTTCCATCTTCCATCCATTACAGTTAACTAGAAAGGTAATATTATTAACTAGTGACTGAGTCACAGTTTAGCATCCAAGGAGAAGAAAACACTGGAGTCATTTCACAGAACATAGATTCAGGTTTGGTCAAGACTGCAATATAAAAGGAATATCTGCTGTCAGTCTGATTCTTCAGATCCCACTGAAACTCTGAGTTTTACTCTGAAGGCCCCCCCCCTTCAGCCCCCGCAGCCCCCCTGCCACCGCCTGATTGGCTCACAACTGGTTGGGGGGGTGGCAGTCTGCGCGCTGTGCCAGATAAATGAGCCTCCTCGGAGCGCACCGCACTCAGTGAGCTGGATGCTGAGCGCGCGCACTGACCGCTGATGTGGACGCACAGACTGCAGACTGCCACCCCCCTCTCTCTGTCCTCTGTCTCTCTCACACACACACACACACACAACACCGGACTACCGGACCCCCCTAAACCACGGCGCAATGCTCGCTGCTGTCTGAGTTCTCGGTTTGGCGCTGTGCGTCACGGGCTCGCTCTGGTGATGGTCAGCGTGCGGCTGCCACGTGGAGGTGACCGCGTTCATCAGACTCCAACATCGTGGTGGCGCAGACCGATGTGGGACGGCCTGTGGATGTCCTGCGTGGTGCAGAGCACAGGCCAGATGCAGTGCAAGGTCCACCGACTTCGGTTCTGGCGCTGTCGGGGGACCTGCAGACGGCGCGCCGCCCTCACGGTCATCTCCGCCGTGTCCGGGTGGTCGCGCTCAACGGTGAGGTGCCCGGGGCGCAGTGCACCAAACTGCATCAAGGATGAGGCGGTGAAGGCGAGGGTGGTGAACGCCGGGGGGGTTGATCTACATCGTCAGCGGCTCTTCGTGCTGGTGCCCGCTCTGCTGGATGGCCAACAACATCATAGTGATTCCACGACCCGCAGGTGCCGTGCCCCAAGGACGCGGGAGACTCGGGCGGCGATCTTACATCGCTGGGCCGCCAACCCGCGCTGCTGCTGCTGGGGGGGACCCTGCTGTGCTGCTCCTTGTCACAGGGGGTCCGGGGAAACTACCCCATCAAATACGTCCCCACCAAGAGCATCACGGCCAACGGGGAGTTCGACAAGAAGCTTTATGTGTAAACGGAGACTCTGATGAGGGACTGAGGTCCGGATGATCCGGTGGAGAGGATGCTGGGTGCCAAAGGATGCTGCTGGAGCTCCGACTCACTGTGGACTGCGAGTGGGGTTTTCATGTGGGCCTCACTGGGACTCAGACTTGGACTGCAGAGTGGTCAATGTGGACTCACTGTGGACTCAGAGTGGGTTCAAGTAACAAACTCAATTCAGTTCAAAAAGGTTCTTGATGAAGCAGCTTTTATTCTGTTTTCAGTGTCACTTAAAGTTACTGAAGCTTCTCGATCAAGAATCTTTTTAAATTGACAAAAACTGAGTTTGTTTTTATTTGTGCTCCAAACTGTCTGTTGTCTCCTCCAGTGAAGTTTCAGGAGGTTTTGTTAAGCAGCTTTTATTAGTAATTTTAAGTGACACTAACTAAACATTCCTGATTAAGTAACTTTTACTGGGTATTTTGTTTTCACTCTACAAATATAAAGTGTCATTTAAAACTACAAAAAGCTGCTTCAAAGTTAAATGAACTCATCTAGTTTTACAGTGTGCTGATTAAAAAGGTTTTATAGATAAACACTTGTTTAGAGGCTGAACTTTGCTACCAGAGTGTTTTTGAAGCTGTTGTCCTCTGAAGAGCTGCAGAGCTTCAGTGTAAATATGTTGTTTTTCTCCCTGTTGTTCTGCTCGTGAGTTCGATTCCCTCAGTGAACCCGCAGGTGGTTCAGTATGCAATTTGCATCTGCAGCTGCAGCGTTTTTTTACTTCCTGTTGTTGTTGTTTTTCTAGTCTTTTCTAATAATATACATACTTTTCTAATAAAGAAAAAAAAAAAGAAACATTTAACTGTCTGTCCTCATTTAAAGTTACTAAAGCTACTTGATCAAGAATGTTTTTTAACTGACGAAATCGAGTTTGTTTTCCTTAAAATGTTTGATTTAAATCAGTTTTTTGAGTTAAATTAACTCAAATCAACCCAAAAAACTTGTATTTATGCAAACTATTAGGCAGTAATTAAAATACCTTTATTGTAGAGGAACAGCTAATTCCTTGAACTCAATGTAGTTGTCATTGATCAAGTTTTTAGAGTCAGAATCTCAGAGGTGGGAAGTATTTCCAAGTTTCTGAATAGTCCCTTTTTCACAGCAGCCATTCTGACATGAAATAGTCGGGTAAACACAGGCGTTACTTGACTATTTAACGTCAGAATGGCTGCTGTGAGAAAGGTATATTGAGTACAGCTTTCTTCTTCCAGTAACATTAACTTGGCCACAACACTGGATGAGAATACAATAACAACTAGCCAGGAAAACTAATTATTTCCAGGATATTTGGTCATTTTAATCAACTTCCAGGTTTTCCAGGACACGTATGTACACATAGATCAGGATATGTCGTGTGCACGTGTAGTTGTTTGTTTTTGAAATGAAGGCAACAAACAGGAGCCAGAAAATGACGTCAAAATAATCAAGACGTTGTCGCACACACCCTGACGGGGCAGTAAACGGCTGGTGTCTGAACAATGCTCCCCGCAGACATCAGCACAATCAGCAGGGAGCAACTGCAGCGTCAGGAAGCCCAGACCTGGACCAGCGGGGCAATCAGTGCCCTCACGTGGATCAACAAGGCCGGAGAGCGTGCTCAGAGGCACACACCGACACAGAGGAGGGAGAGGAACAGCCGGAGCTCGCCAACGCTGGTTAACGTCCCTGCGTTTCCATGGCAACGCATTCAAAATGAAACAGGAACAGAAACAGGGTCAGGGAACAGAGAACAGAGGGCCCCATACACACACATTTCTCTCATGTTCTCTTACCCAAGTAATACCCCCTCAAACACTAGAGCAGGGCAGGAGTGCAAACACTCGGGGACGTGGGTAATAACTGGAGACAAACACCAGAAGAGAGTAAAGATAGAAAACATCTGGACAAAATGAATGAAAACTGCTCAACACAGAATAATCAGATATTAATATATTGATGATAAATTAATATTTAAGTTCTGTATCTAGAGGAGGATCTTCAGCAGTGAACTCGACGTATTAGATCTTAAAAATGAGAGAAAATGTGTTCGTTTGTCTCCTCCTGAGGCCGAGAACTTCCTTACATAAATGTCTAATTTAGTGAAATAAGACTTGGTTTAACGGATTGTTTTTCCATGTTGAAATAAAATCCATAATTCCTCTGTGGCAGGTTGTGTTTTATTATCATCATCACAATAAATTACATTCAAATATGTACAAGTTATTGAGGCACAAGAGGGTCAGTGAGCTCAAGCACATTAACGCAGACACACCGTTATTTCCTGACTGTCTTTAAACGTCACACATGCTTCATCATCCCGGTACAACCTCTTAGTGTCACACTGAGTGAAGCTGCAGTCAACAACTGAGCACATCCAGAACACAATGCCCATGATCAGTGCGAGTCTGTGTGAGGCAACCGTCGTCGCCCTCGTGCTGGTTCAACCCGCCTCTTCATGCGGAGGCACAAACACCGTCGCGGTTAGGCTCATGAAGTCGCTAAAAAGGGTCGTTCCCCCAAACAAACACAGAATTAAGCAGTGAAATTTAATCCTCGATTTAAGATCGATTTACCATCAATTCTGATTATTATCTATTAAACAGCATCTGCAGATAAAACTGATTCTGAGCTGCTGGTTATGTTGTTTTAAAACTTTTTGATGATCAGCACAAGAAAAATAAGGTCCGTTCAGGAGAGCAGAGATTCCGAGCCGGGATCGTATGAACCAGAAAACATCAAGCACAGGAAGTAATATGTAGTTAACCACGGGCCTAGTTTTTTGTTTATATTTTGGCAAGATTAGTTCCATAAAACAGTCCTAAAGGAAGACCAGGCGAACAGATTTTCACCAATCACGCAGTCCTCTGGTAAAACGTTGAGCCACTAACGTCACCAAACTCACCCCTTGTTTCAGTTGTGAAGATGCAATATTTACCAAGAAGAATAACTGCTAAAAGTTCCCCCGATGTTCTCCTAAAAGTGGAATAAATGGTTTTGTTGTGGTGGAAGCAATTTTCCTTTCCTGTAAATTTCGGAGCCGAAAGAAAAACAAACTGCATCGAAACATGAAAAGAGTTTGGTTTTAACGGGTGATCTGACTCCTATGAAGTGTGTTTTATTATCATCTGTTATCATGTTGCAACTAGTTTGAAATCTGCTGTGAAATCAGATGAAGCCTTCAGGACTGATTAAAGAGTGCGGATGATCATAGGCCAACGACGTTTGCAGTGCACGCGGCTGATTGACAACATTCCCCTCACTGATTCAGCTTTGATACTGAAAGAAAAGTTAAAAACATGATGATTCCTGCAGGCTGTTAGTAAGGATCTTTTTTTTCTATGATTTCGATGCTGAATTTTTGGACGTTTGTTACCTGAAATGTAAATAACTTCATTAATCGAGGACAAAGATCATTCAGTAGATAAACTGTGGTCCACGGTAAGGTGAGGGTCCAGCCAGCTTAAAAAAATGTCGTTAGAAGAAGAACAGACTACCATTACTACATGTTTTAACTACACTTTTTTAAATGGGCCAATTTTAAGGTCTTTGAAGGCACCAAGAAGAAATTCGCTTGACAGGGAAGGCAGCATAAAAACCTAGAACTATCGGTGTGGTCTCCGACACCACCAGGAGAGAATCATGGCCTTTTTTTATTTTTTTATTTTGGTGAACTGAACCCTTTAACACTGGCAACGCACTCCATATGCTCTTAAGGCAGCGGAGAGAGTTTGAGGTTTTTTCGGGGCTTTCTGTGTAATAAATAAAATCCTGAATTGTTCCTTGATGACAGCAGATAACGGAGGTATAATGGACACGTACAATCGTCTGAATTTCTAAATGGGCTTCTGTATTGTCTCGGATATAACAAATTCCAAACAGCTCATATTAAAGTTGATCTTCTCTTTTATGAGCTGATGTCTCCAGGGGTTATCTGATTCGCAGACTGTATTGTATGTCCGTAACTGTACGAAGGCATGACAGCAGCGGGCTTACGACTGGTTATTCCCCTTCAGTAACTGGCCGCAATGACCAGCCTCTGTACTCTCGCTGGTGCCCTCGTAGATCTCCGTGATGCGAGGCGTCGCGGTAGTGCCTCTCTGCGGGCATGTCCGACACGTAACCCATCCCCCCCAGAACCTGGATGGGCCCTGATTTAAAAGAAAGCAAAATAAAGGAAACATTAAACGTTTGTATCTCAATTCTCTGGATCTTTAGCATTTCGTTGTTGGTTTCTTACTGATGGGAGGCAATAACGTGGCGGCTTCAGAACGCAGCGCTAGTTTGGCCATGGCGGCTTTCCTGCAGGAAAACAGAGGCGGTTATATGCCCGTCACTTCTGGCAAGAACTCGTTAGATGAGAGGCGACTGCGTACCCTTTGGTTGAAGGGTTTTCTTTGCATCTCGAAGGAGGGCGACGCCGTTCCAGGTTGAAGGCAGACCGTACGCCCTCTAATCGGCCACCAGCCATGTCCGCCAAGTTTGAACTAAAGGATGTGGAAATACACGATTTAAGTAACAACGGGTCAGAGAACCTGATCAGCCTTTCAGCAGTTAGCTAGTGTTTCTGTAAGTGGAGACCTAAACGTTAACCGAATGATCCATATTCAGCAGTTTGAATCCAACTAAATAGCTGCCCTGCACCAACTCCCTTTTAAAGAATATCAGCATTTTTATTAAACAATTCCTGAAGTGTTCGTACAATACACGTAACTCTAGAAACACGAGCTAAAGGCCGTCATAACATAAATTGTCCACAGTCCTGACTGTCAACTACAGGATCATATCATCCATTAAAGATATTCAGTGTATACTGATCAAGCTATCATCCATAAACGATACCAGTGTATACTGATCAATATCATCCATAAGATATCAGTGTATATGATCAATATCATCCATGAAAAGATACCAGGTGTATATCTGTCATATCATGCCATAAAGATACAGTTGTATATCTGATCAATATGCCATCCATAAGATACAGTGTATACGATCAATATCATACTATAAAGATACAGTGTATACGATGCAATTCATTCCCATAAGATCAGTTGTATGAAGCTCATCAATAGTCCATAAAGGATACAGTGTATAGCTGATAATAGTCCAAAAGATACAGTGTATACTGATCAATAGTCCATAAAGAACAGTGTATATCTGATGCAACTAGTCCATAAAGATAAAATATACTTCTGAAGTCAGAAATCTGTAACAGATTTTTTCGCCTGTTAGCCTAACGGGTAAGCATGGATACCAGTTTGCTGCTTCCTGTCTGGAGGAAGTTTCCCCCCCCGTCGTCTCCCTCAGCGTTCTATCTGAAGGGCGTTTTTGTTGGCCGAGTGTAAAACCAGGAATGTTGAACTGTTCCGGCTGATCCGGCTTTTAATAACTGGTTATAATTTTTATTAATCGTTATTAGAGATGAGTAGTGAGCAGTGAGGTGATGGCTACAGCTGCATTTTTCTACTATTGATGAACAGTGAAGAACCATCCCCGTCCGTCAGCCGTTGCCATGTTCAGCGTTGGTTCTGACTGGCTCAGCCGTTTTTCACCTGGATGGCCCTGCAGTTGCCGATGGGGGGGTCCGAACGCGTGCGTTTTGTGCGTAGTCGGCGCCAGTCCAGAGAAGTCCCCTGAGCGATACCGGCGAGCCTGAGAAGTCGATGCGATCCGTCACCTGTCCAGAGTTTTTGCTGTGTGACACAGACAGAGCTCATTACCCAGCAGCACCGACAACCATTCAAGCCCCAGTGAGGATGAAGTGTCTCAGGTTCAATTAAGGTGGTCAGCGTTTAACAGACACCCTGATCTATAAATATTTGCTCTGACAGACTTTAACAAAAACATGTTAGTTTGATAGAAAACCCCCCAAAAAATCATCATCATGATTTTAATAGTTTCTCAGTGAAAATTTCTGTCACAATAATCACAGTATGAGGTTTTATTTATTGGATAGAAGATAATTAACGACACAAGGTGACTTAAACAGAATAATCTTTGGGGCTGGAGGGAGTGTTGTGTGTGTGTATTATATCTATAGTAAAACATCTTCACTGTTTACTGGAACAGACCAGAGCAGTCTGACTTTATCCTGCAGTTCAAAACCACATTTTAGAGGCTACCTGAACAGAAGGTGAAGCTGTAGTAATCTCCTCTACAACAATGGATTCGTTAATACAAGTCCAGGAATTGACACTGCACCTTCAGGAACTTTTTCACATAGACAGAACTGCACCTGGAGCACGAATTATTGGTTTTACGAACAGACCGAAGAGCCAATAAAGTCACGTGATGCAGTAGTCGAGAAGCGTAGTTGATTCAGGAACTCAATACTCCTGGGAGCGTTTCTCGTGTACAAGCTGGTTGTGAAAAGGTTTTAACCTGAGTACTGAGGTGTTTTTTTTAAATTGGATTCCAGCTCTTATTTTGAAATATTAGTCGTTCTCCACCAGTAAATGATCCTGGGTTTTATAAAAAGGTACCATTGCGATCTTGAACCCGGCTCCCCGGCGGAGCCAGCATGTTGCCCAGCGGCCACCCTTGCAGTCCCTCCAAGGATGAATGTTGGGCGGTGGATGAGGCTCTGATGCCCAACTTATCTTTCCTTTCTTTTGCCGCAGAGAAAGCCCCGGGTGTGGCATGGCGTCAAGGAAACGGGCACTGATTCCGCTGCCACACGGAAGATAAAAGAAACAATGAACGATCCCATTGTTCACAGAACCAACAAATCTTTATCTCGCGTCATCTGAAGCGTTAAAAAAAATTGCCGCGTCATGCTTGTGTTTGAGTTTATTGTCCAGTGTGCGAACACGAAGTGCCGAGGCGTCCAGCTGTTGGTGATCCAGGCTTTGGTTCCGTTCAGCGCCCACAGTCATCGGCCCATCCTGACGAGCTGTTTGGAGACGCGCCGCGTCACTGCCGTATAACCCTGGGAACCAATTCATTCACATCTTTATAAAGGAACCAGTTTCAGTCTGTTGGGATCAGTGGAAGGGTTCTTCAAAGCCTATCAGATGATTTTTACCAGAACCAGGGTTCATTTCACTCTTCCACTAAGACAGTTTTGAGGGCCGGTTTTGGACCCCGTGCTAACCTGGAAACCAGTTGCTTTCAGGTTTTAAACCCAGGGAAGCTCGTCCCAGCGAACGACGTTTTTGGTCTAAAACCAGAACTGTCGGGGTCCTGTTGGCGGCTGGTTATGTATCTAATTAGCAGAATCTAATCATGGTTCTGGGCTGGTGCCGGGTTTTTGGAGTTGGTTCCCTTTTCGCCCCAGCTAAACCAGGAAACGGCAGCTCCGTTCGGTTCAAGCACCTGGTTCTGAACCAAAGCGGCGTGTCAATGTGGTTCCACTGGGTAACGTTAGCTGACCAGCAGGCTTGCTAGTGTAAACCTGGTAACAACAGCTGGCGTTGGACGACGTATACCAGGTGATTGAGGACGCGGGTCTATGTTAGGCTCTCGGCCGTCGAAGAGGCAAACCGGTTCCTTAGAAGGTTCTCCTGTTACACCAGTCGCAGACCTAGCAGCAGCTCTGGGTTTCATGTTGGTTGGAAAGAGGGTAAAGGTAAGAGTTTAGCCTACATCATTGAGCCCAGACATAAAAAACAGAACATTTCTGGCCTTCATCCAATCTGTTCAAATTGGGATTTTTCATTAAACGCTGCCAAATACAGAAACCAGGAGACAGCTAAAACTGATGAACTCGAACTGGAAATTTCAACATTAATTTCTGCAGGATGAGTTTAAAG